AAAACACTCCAAGTCCATGAATCACCACTGAAGATGCAGGGAACATCAACCTCTGTGGAAATTAAAATGGCAAAACACTCCAAGTCCAAGAATCACCACTGAAGATGCAGGGAACATCAACCTCTGTGGAAATTAAAATGGCAAAACTTTCCAAGTCCATGAATCACCACAGAAGATGCAGGGAACATTAACCTCTGTGGAAATTAAAATGGCAAAACACTCCAAGTCCATGAATCACCACAGAAGATGCAGGGAACAATAACCTCTGTAGAAATTAAAAATGTCAATGCTAATACAGCTTCATACCAAATCCCATTGACCTATCATAAGTGGTTTCCCTTTAACTCATGTAACTGACCTAAACACAAACTTTAACATGTAAACTAAGCAAGAGTCAATGAACCTGGATAAGGGGTGAGGCCATATATAATCTTCATGAAAGAGACATGCAAAACTAATACAGCTGCATATCAAATATCATTGACCTACCAGTAGTAGTTCCCCTTAAACTGAACTTATCACAAACTTTAACATATAAACTAAGCAAACGTTTCAAAGTCAATAGACCACGACTGAGGTGGGTGGGCCAAATAATCTCAATGAAAATGAGAAGGGCCAATAGTTATAAAATATACCGTATAGTCGTCCTTTTATAGCCAACTATACCTCAGCATTTATTATTTTGATAACATTATTTGTTTGCAGTATATTTGTAATCGTAATGATTAATCTTGCATTTTTTTGTTTGTTTAACAGTCATAATAATAACTGCACACAAATATTTCTGAATTTACAGTATGCAAGTGTTCAAGATACAGTATAATGTCTTGAAGGTGGAAAAGGTTTTGACTGTCAAACCAGTGTCCATCATAACCTCTGATGTTAGTATCTCCAAATAATCACATTATTACATGAAATATGGATATGAAATATGTTTAAATGAAATAATTCTTTCTTTGACATTTTCCCAAAACTGTGTATTGTGAGTCCTGTAGCATACAAGAAAAAGTATGAGACAAAAATATTTATTTTGGAAGACCTAAGTACAGTGATGATATCAAATTTAAAATTGAATTTATCTTATAAACAAATAAATTATGATCAATCATCCATAAAAAGGAAATCATTAAAGAATGTATATTTTTTTTCTTGCAAAAATTACCTTTGTCAACCCCTTCTTATCAATCTCTTAATATCAGACTTTTGATTGAAGTAATGAAGCCATATGTGGTCACTTTAAACAAAGCCGAACATTGATTCCCAGATTGATCTGGCACACGTGTGACAAAAATACATGTAACATTTCGTTTTAACGTCAATATCTCCAATGTTTATTACATTAAACCAACAACAAAACATATATCTATGAGTCAGGGTTTGCCATATGTTTCCTGACTGACCTCCCAAAATATAGAACAAAGCAAATCATACAATAATAAACTCATCCCTCTAACCAAATTTTAGGAACTTGTATTTTTTGTTCTCTGCAAGGCCATGAGTTGTTGGTTCCCATGGCCAAGATAACTTACTTTAAATCAAAATGTTTTAAGCTAAGCAAATACACTGACTTTAATGTCAATCCAACTGAAACAAATGGTTTTACTAATGATGGTTTTATTTTGATCCTTTTAATTAAGCATTTATTCCATTTATAGTTGTATTAGAAATAAATTACATGTAAAGTTCAAATTATAGTAGGATGTCTCTATGCTTTCCCTTAGAAAAAAGAAAAAACCTACATGAGCTTGAACCTTTTATTTTTTTATAACTTTATGATAAACAGCAGTGCAGCTTTTATTGTTTAGGTGTTATAGTGTTCATGCTGTAACACATTTAAAAGCTATAAAATTTGATCGGAGTTATGGATCAACAGTCTTGTTCTTTCCAAGGAACATTTTTTACTAAGTTTTGTGAAGGTTTGACATTTGATACAAAAATATCTTCAATAACAAAAATGATGATAGCTAGAAACCAAAATTTTGCCCATATATCAGTCTATCAATAGCTGCTGTGACCTTAACCTTTGACCATCAAATCAAAAGGGTTTTCTGCTTCTGATTTGGCAATATCAAACCACTGTCCAAGTTTGGAAAAGATATTGTTATGACTCAAAAAGACTTTGTACAGATAACAAAATGTAACTCTGGATTGCTGGACAGTATTCACCATATTATAGGCCAAGTTTGACTGTGAAGCATCTCAGCTAAAAGGAAAGTCAATCAATAATCATTCCTTGAGGATGTTAAAGGTTCAAAGTATGGTATAATAAAAAAGAATTTCTGTCATAACTAACAATCATTAACATTCAAAGACAAACAAAAACACATAATAAACAACAAAAGTACAAACATTAATGCCTTGGTAAACTGATTATGCCATACATATATGTAAATTTATTCAGTAACCAAAATCTACCTGTCTAACCTGAACACTAAATAAACAGGAAGTATGCAGACTGGACCTAAACTACCTGTCTGACCTGAAGACTGTATAAACAGGAAGTACTGGTATGCAGACTGGACCTAAACTACCTATCTGACCTAAAGACTGAATAAACAGGAAGTACTGGTATGCAGACTGGACATAAAACTACCTATCTGACCTGAACAATGAATAAACAGGAAGTACTAGTATGCAGACTGGACCTAAAACTACCTGTCTGACCTGAAGACTGTATAAACAGGAAGTACTGGTATGCAGACTGGACATAAAACTACCTATCTGACCTGAAGACTGTATAAACAGGAAGTACTGGTATGCAGACTGGACATAAAACTACCTGTCTGACCTGAAGACTGTATAAACAGGAAGTACTGGTATGCAGACTGGACATAAAACTACCTGTCTGACCTGAAGACTGTATAAACAGGAAGTACTGGTATGCAGAATGGACCTAAACTACCTATCTGACTTAAAGACTGAATAAACAGGAAGTACTGGTATGCAGAATGGACCTAAACTACCTATCTGACTTAAAGACTGAATAAACAGGAAGTACTGGTATGCAGACTGGACATAAAACTACCTGTCTGACCTGAAGACTGTATAAACAGGAAGTACTGGTTTGCAGACTGGACATAAAACTACCTATCTGACCTGAAGACTGTATAAACAGGAAGTACTGGTATGCAGACTGGACATAAAACTACCTGTCTGACCTGAACACTGAATAAACAGGAAGTACAGGTATGCAGACTGGTGATATTGTAAACTGTGCAGTAAAAACAGTTAAAATCAACTCAATAACACATTTCATGGGACTATGTTTTATTCTTTATCATGATAGAATGTAGCTCTGAGAGATCATTAGGCTATAAGATTCTTGATTTAGCAGTAATTGTCTGGAAAGCCTGACATGACATCTCAGTTGGATAAAAGGACTGTTTTATAAATACTTACAATTTCAAGTCTTTTCCTTTTGTTTCTTTTCTTTACTTCAGTCTATGAAAACAGAACAAACTGACATAAAATTGTACAATACTACAGACAAGGTTAACATTATTATAATATTAGTCAACATGATCAATGCCATGAAAGTGGCTTTCCTGGTTTGAAAAATTCTAATTTCTTGTATAAGTAATAATTCAACTCATTCTTTCAGGAAAAAAATTTCTATTTTTGTATTTGATTTGACCTTCCAACTTTTTTGATTTGAGCACTACTTATGAGTCTTAAGAGGACAAAACATTAATATGACATACCAAATTATAAGCCTGGATATCTAAGATGACTCTTTACATTACTGGTAGATATCAGTGTGATGAAGTTTTTTTTGCTCAGCTTCAAACAATCATTAATCATATCACAAATGTTTTACAAAAAATCAAGCATAAAAAAAAATCTTTTGTGTCACATTTCACAAATGTAGTGACAGTGTTTAGCCTGCTTAACAATAAATGTTCAATGGCAAATATTTCTTGCATTTTCAAGACCACAAAGAAAAATAAGGTAGACATTAAAACTGCTAAGAAAGGACTTAAATATGATAGTAAAACTTCTGTTCCCAATCAGCTACAACAAAACTGAACATTCAAAATAAGATGCAGGCTTTTGTTGAATATTTGGAAATAATAGAAAATTTGAATATCAAAGTCAGTGTTCTCCCCAAGGTGCTATCTAGAAAAACCTTTACTGCCTTAATCTTTATCTGAATATTATAGTCAGTATTCCCCCCAAGGTGCTATCTAGAAAGACTTTTACTGCCTTAATCTTCATCTGAATATTATAGTCAGTGTTCTCCCCAAGGTGCTATCTAGAAAGACCTTTACTGCCTTAATCTTAATCTGAATATTATAGTCAGTGTTCTCCCCAAGGTGTTATCTAGAAAGACCTTTACTGCCTTAATCTTCATCTGAATATTATAGTCAGTTTTCTCCCCCAAGGTGCTCTCTAGAAAGACCTTTACTGCCTTAATCTTTATCTGAATATTATAGTCAGTATTCTCCCCAATGTGCTATCTAGAAAGACTTTTACTGCCTTAATCTTTATCTGAATATACTAGTCAGTGTTCTCCCCAAGGTGCTATCTAAAAAGACCTTTACTGCCTTAATCTTTATCTGAATGTTATATTCAGTGTTCTCCCCAAGGTGCTATCTAGAAAGACTTTTACTGCCTCAATCTTTATCTGAATATACTAGTCAGTGTTCTACCCAAGGTACTATCTAGAAAGACCTTTACTGCCTTAATCTTTATCTGAATATTATAGTCAGTGTTCTCCCCAAGGTGCTATCTAGAAAGACTTTTACTGCCTTAATCTTTATCTGAATATACTGGTCAGTGTTCTCCCCAATGTGCTATCTAAAAAGACCTTTACTGCCTTAATCTTCATCTGAATGTTATAGTCAGTGTTCTCCCCAAGGTGCTATCTAGAAAGACTTTTACTGCCTTAATCTTTATCTGAATATACTAGTCAGTGTTCTCCCCAAGGTGCTATCTAGAAAGACCTTTACTGCCTTAATCTTTATCTGAATATTATAGTCAGTGTTCTCCCCAAGGTGTTATCGAGAAAGACTTTTACTGCCTTAATCTTTATCTGAATATACTAGTCAGTGTTCTCCCCAAGGTGCTATCTAAAAAGACCTTTACTGCCTTAATCTTCATCTGAATGTTATAGTCAGTGTTCTCCCCAAGGTGCTATCTAGAAAGACCTTTACTGCCTTAATCTTAATCTGAATGTTATAGTCAGTGTTCTCCTCAAGGTGCTATCTAAAAAGACCTTTACTGCCTTAATCTTCATCTGAATGTTATAGTCAGTGTTCTCCCCAAGGTGCTATCTAGAAAGACTTTTACTGCCTTAATCTTTATCTGAATATACTAGTCAGTGTTCTCCCCAAGGTGCTATCTAGAAAGACCTTTACTGCCTTAATCTTTATCTGAATATTATAGTCAGTGTTCTCCCCAAGGTGTTATCGAGAAAGACTTTTACTGCCTTAATCTTTATCTGAATATACTAGTCAGTGTTCTCCCCAAGGTGCTACCTAAAAAGACCTTTACTGCCTTAATCTTCATCTGAATATTATAGTCAGTGTTCTCCCCAAGGTGCTATCTAGAAAGACTTTTACTGCCTTAATCTTTATCTGAATATACTAGTCAGTGTTCTCCCCCAAGGTGCTATCTAAAAAGACCTTTACTGCCTTAATCTTCATCTGAATGTTATAGTCAGTGTTCTCCCCAAGGTGCTATCTAGAAAGACCTTTACTGCCTTAATCTTAATCTGAATGTTATAGTCAGTGTTCTCCCCAAGGTGCTATCTAAAAAGACCTTTACTGCCTTAATTTTCATCTGAATTTTATAGTGAGTGTTCTCCCCAAGGTGCTATCTAGAAAGACCTTTACTGCCTTAATCTTCATCTGAATATTATAGTCAAGTGTTCTCCCCAAGGTGCTATCTAGAAAGACCTTTACTGCCTTAATCTTTATCTGAATATTATAGTCAGTTTTCTCCCCAAGGTGACATCTAGAAAGACTTTTACTGCCTTAATCTTTATCTGAATATACTAGTCAGTGTTCTCCCCAAGGTGCTATCTAGAAAGACTTTTACTGCCTTTATCTTTATCTGAATGTTATAGTCAGTGTTCTCCCCAAGGTGCTATCTAGAAAGACTTTTACTGCCTTAATCTTCATCTGAATATTATAGTTAGTGTTCTCCCCAAGGTGCTATCTAGTGTTCTCCCCAAGGTGCTATCTAAAGAGACTTTTACTGCCTTAATCTTCATCTGAATATTATAGTTAGTGTTCTCCCCAAGGTGCTATCTAGAAAGACTTTTACTGCCTTAATCTCCATCTGAATATTATAGTTAGTGTTCTCCCCAAGGTGTTATCTAGAAAGACCTTTACTGCCTTAATCTTTATCTGAATATTATAGTCAGTGTTCTCCCCAAGGTGTTATCTAGAAATACCTTTACTGCCTTCATCTTCATCTAAATATTATAGTCAATGTTCTCCCCAAGGTGCTATCTAGAAAGACCTTTACTGCCTTAATCTCCATCTGAATATTATAGTCAGTGTTCTCTCCAAGGTGTTATCGAGAAAGACTTTTACTGCCTTAATCTTTATCTGAATATACTAGTCAGTGTTCTCCCCAAGGTGCTATCTAAAAAGACCTTTACTGCCTTAATCTTCATCTGAATGTTATAGTCAGTGTTCTCCCCAAGGTGCTATCTAGAAAGACCTTTACTGTCTTAATCTTAATCTGAATGTTATAGTCAGTGTTCTCCTCAAGGTGCTATCTAAAAAGACCTTTACTGCCTTAATCTTCATCTGAATGTTATAGTCAGTGTTCTCCCCAAGGTGCTATCTAGAAAGACTTTTACTGCCTTAATCTTTATCTGAATATACTAGTCAGTGTTCTCCCCAAGGTGCTATCTAGAAAGACCTTTACTGCCTTAATCTTTATCTGAATATTATAGTCAGTGTTCTCCCCAAGGTGTTATCGAGAAAGACTTTTACTGCCTTAATCTTTATCTGAATATACTAGTCAGTGTTCTCCCCAAGGTGCTACCTAAAAAGACCTTTACTGCCTTAATCTTCATCTGAATATTATAGTCAGTGTTCTCCCCAAGGTGCTATCTAGAAAGACTTTTACTGCCTTAATCTTTATCTGAATATACTAGTCAGTGTTCTCCCCCAAGGTGCTATCTAAAAAGACCTTTACTGCCTTAATCTTCATCTGAATGTTATAGTCAGTGTTCTCCCCAAGGTGCTATCTAGAAAGACCTTTACTGCCCTTAATCTTAATCTGAATGTTATAGTCAGTGTTCTCCCCAAGGTGCTATCTAAAAAGACCTTTACTGCCTTAATTTTCATCTGAATTTTATAGTGAGTGTTCTCCCCAAGGTGCTATCTAGAAAGACCTTTACTGCCTTAATCTTCATCTGAATATTATAGTCAAGTGTTCTCCCCAAGGTGCTATCTAGAAAGACCTTTACTGCCTTAATCTTTATCTGAATATTATAGTCAGTTTTCTCCCCAAGGTGACATCTAGAAAGACTTTTACTGCCTTAATCTTTATCTGAATATACTAGTCAGTGTTCTCCCCAAGGTGCTATCTAGAAAGACTTTTACTGCCTTTATCTTTATCTGAATGTTATAGTCAGTGTTCTCCCCAAGGTGCTATCTAGAAAGACTTTTACTGCCTTAATCTTCATCTGAATATTATAGTTAGTGTTCTCCCCAAGGTGCTATCTAGTGTTCTCCCCAAGGTGCTATCTAAAGAGACTTTTACTGCCTTAATCTTCATCTGAATATTATAGTTAGTGTTCTCCCCAAGGTGCTATCTAGAAAGACTTTTACTGCCTTAATCTCCATCTGAATATTATAGTTAGTGTTCTCCCCAAGGTGTTATCTAGAAAGACCTTTACTGCCTTAATCTTTATCTGAATATTATAGTCAGTGTTCTCCCCAAGGTGTTATCTAGAAATACCTTTACTGCCTTCATCTTCATCTAAATATTATAGTCAATGTTCTCCCCAAGGTGCTATCTAGAAAGACCTTTACTGCCTTAATCTCCATCTGAATATTATAGTGAGTGTTCTCTCCAAGGTGTTATCTAGAAAGACCTTTACTTCCTTAATCTTCATCTGAATATTATAGTCAATGTTCTCCCCAAGGTGTTATCTAGAAAGACCTTTACTGCCTTAATCTTCATCTGAATATTATAGTCAGTGTTCTCCCCAAGGTGTTATATAGAAAGACTTTTACTGCCTTAATCTTTATCTGAATATACTAGTCAGTGTTCTCCCCAAGGTGCTATCTAGAAAGACCTTTACTGCCTTAATCCTTATCTAAATATTATAGTGAGTGTTCTCCCCCAAGGTGCTATCTAGAAAGACCTTTACTGCCTTAATCTTTATCTGAATATTATAGTCAGTGTTCTCCCCAAGGTGCTATCTAGAAAGACCTTTACTGCCTTAATCTTTATCTGAATATTATAATCAGTGTTCTCCCCCAAGGTGTTATCTAGAAAGACCTTTACTGCCTTAATCTTTATCTGCATATTAAAGTCAGTGTTCTCCCCAAGGTGTTATCTAGAAAGACCTTTACTGCCTTAATCTTTATCTGAATATTATAGTCAGTGTTCACCCCAAGGTGTTATCTAGAAAGACCTTTACTGCCTTAATCTTTATCTGAATATTATAGTCAGTGTTCTCCCCAAGGTGCTATCTAGAAAGACTTTTACTGCCTTAATCTTTATCTGAATATTATAGTCAGTGTTCTCCCCAAGGTGCTATCTAGAAAGACCTGTACTGCCTTAATCTTTATCTGAATATTATAGTCAGTGTTCTCCCCCAAGGTGTTATCTAGAAAGACCTTTACTGCCTTAATCTTTATCTGAATATTATAGTGAGTGTTCTCCAAAAGGTACTATCTAGAAAGACCTTTACTGCCTTGATCTTTATCTGAATATTATAGTCAGTGTTCTCCCCAAGGTGTTATCTAGAAAGACCTTTACTGCCTTAATCTTTATCTGAATATTATAGTCAGTTTTCTCCCCAAGGTGCTATCTAGAAAGACCTTTACTGCCTTAATCTTCTTCTGAATATTATAGTCAGTGTTCTCCCCAAGGTGCTATCTAGAAAGACTTTTACTGCCTTAATCTTTATCTGAATATTATAGTCAGTATTCTCCACAAGGTGACATCTAGAAAGACCTTTACTGCCTTAATCTTTATCTGAATATTATAGTCAGTTTTCTCCCCAAGGTGCTATCTAGAAAGACTTTTACTGCCTTAATCTTTATCTGAATATTATAGTCAGTGTTCTCCCCAAAGGTTCTATCTAGAAAGACCTTTACTGCCTTAATCTTTATCTGAATATTATAGTCAGTGTTCTCCCCCAAGGTGTTATCTAGAAAGACCTTTACTGCCTTAATCTTTATCTGAATATTATAGTCAGTTTTCTCCCCAAGGTGCTATCTAGAAAGACCTTTACTGCCTTAATCTTCTTCTGAATATTATAGTCAGTTTTCTCCTAAAGGTGCTATCTAGAAAGCCCTTTACTGCCTTAATCTTCTTCTGAATATTATAGTCAGTTTTCTCCCCAAGGTGCTATCTATAAAGACCTTTACTGCCTTAATCTTTATCTGAATATTATAGACAGTGTTCTCCCCAAGTAGCTATCTAGAAAGACCTTTACTGCCTTAATCTTCTTCTGAATATTATAGTCAGTTTTCTCCTAAAGATGCTATCTAGAAAGCCCTTTACTGCCTTAATCTTCTTCTGAATATTATAGTCAGTGTTCTCCCCCAAGGTGCTATCTATAAAGACCTTTACTGCCTTAATCTTTATCTGAATATTATAGACAGTGTTCTCCCCAAGGTGCTATCTAGAAAGACTTTTACTGCCTTAATCATTATCTGAATATTATAGTCAGATTTCTCCCCAAGGTGCTATCTAGAAAGACCTTTACTGCCTTAATCTTCATCTGAATATTATAGTCAGTGTTCTCCCCAAGGTGTTATCTAGAAAGACCTTTACTGCCTTAATCTTCATCTGAATATTATAGTCAGTGTTCTCCCCAAGGTGCTATCTGAACAGAATAATAGAATGTATTATAAATATGGTGCTATAATTTAGGAGTAACAGTGCTATTGTAAATCTCTGAAATACTTGTGGAAAACACTAATGCTCTTCACTACCTTAATCTTAACCTGACTAATTTTTAAATCACTTATTTATTTTTTAATGAGTCAGGTGTTGGTTGATGGTGTGGTCCGTCCAATTTTTTTTACCATTCCTGTTATTTTTTTCAAACTACAGACATATTATTAAAAATAAACCTCTACTTTACTGACATATTCTTAACTCCATAACAAATACAAAGACGTCAAATAAAATCTAAATAGAAATGTGACAGATGCCATAACCTTTAATTGAGTAATATAAGAGTCTCCGAGTATATTAAAGGTAGTCCTTATAAAATTACAATTTCTTACATTGCTTTGTAACAAAAGAAAATCAATGTTACAAGAAATAGTGGTATTATAGGGTCTATGCAGACTCACACCAATTTTCCTACTAATTACAAATAAAATGATTTAGTTTTATGGTCTTACTAATAATTTATTTTGATGCTGAAATAAAAAAAAAAATCAAACAGACAATATGTTACATATTGTACGTGGCGTAAACAATGCAGTGGGGAAACAGATTTTATGCCGGTATCAATAAATTAAATTTTTACTTACTTAAATCAATACAAATATAAATTTCAAGCAGTATTATACTAGATCAACTAATGTAATCTGTGCTCCATCTGCCGATCGTGTTCGACAGATGGCATAAGTAACTTAGCCGTCAGCTGTCCCCAAAAACAATCATTATCGTGCTTGTGATAAAACTATATTGGACTTTAAACACAGATGTAGCAAATATATTTTTCAGATCGTTTAAACAGCATATGTTTTATAATATTGACTAATCTGGAGTGATATTTTACTTATATTTCTTTGTAGCTTTAGAATCAATATGCCATACTCTGTTTTTGCAATCGAATATTTCATTATTGTTATTACACAAACTGCTTCAAAAGTCCTTAAGTTCATTTCAGTTTACTCAAAAAAGGGATTTTATTTGAACTGACAATTATTTCCTTATTGTTTTTTTCAGTAAAAAATAATTATGACATTAATATGAACAGGATTGAACACGCTGAAATGTCTCGCTAGTTTTACTGATTATGACTGAATGATTAAAGTCTTTAATATCAATGTTTTACTACAAGTATAACAGAAAATTAACATTATCAATGATCCATGAAATTGAGGTCAAGGTCAGATGAACCCTTCCAGATGGACATGTTTTTTCCTTACAATCATTCCATACACAAAATAGAGTTGTCATTATGTGAAAAAGTTACCTAATTACAAAAACCTCTGATTGACCAATGAACCATGAAAATGATGTCAAAGTCAGATGAATCCTACGAACAGACATTGCACCTTTAGCTTACAATCATTACATACACCAGATAAAGTTGACTTACTGCATTTGTATCTGAGAAATGGATCAAATCACCAAACTTAAGGTTGATCAATGAACCATGAAAATGAGGTCAGGGTCTGATTATCCTTGCCAGACTGACATGCACACCATACAATCATTACATACACCAAATTTATTTGACCTATAATAGTATCTTAGAAACAGATTTGATGACATAAGTTTAACATAGATCACTGATCAATGATATGAGGCTAAGGTCAGGTGAACCTTTTCTGACCGACATGTATACCTTGCAACTATTCTATACACCAAATAAAGTTGTCCTATTACTTAAAATTAATGAAAATTTTAAACAGTTTTAACATTTGTTGCTAAACCATTAAAAAGGGGTCCAGGACAAAAATCAGACATATTCCAGTCAGAAACTTTCGAATAAAAGCCATTTGTATACAAGACATGAAGTATCCAGGTATTCTATTTCTGAATGATATAATTTAAAGCTTTAAATGCAAAGCTAAAACTGCCTCCTAAAGATTAGAAACCATATATATGTCTCACGTTAATAATTGCAGGTTACCGTACGGCTTCAACATCGAGCAAAACAGTATACTAAGTTAAATATAAGAAACCCCAAGAAGAAAATGGTAAAACAATTCACAAGACAAAACAGTTGACCCTGATGCACTTTATTTAAGACTTGTCTAGGCTCATGGAAAATTATAGCATCACACATTTGACACAAAACACTTGTCTTAGTTGTTGAAGGACTAATGCTGACCTCCAGATATATTTTCTCTTGGTTGTATTGTAAGGTCGCTGTCTTGTTGATGCAAACCCTTATGTCTCTTAATCACAATGTGACAGTGTGAACTTTTTTGAATCAAAAGGGATCAATCATCTCACAAAAGTACATGATTGTTAATTAGAAAGTGTAAAAAAATATACATGTATAAGGTCCTCTATAAAAAATTAGAAAGTGTAAAGAAATAAAAGGTCTTATATAAAATATATAACTAATATAAAACCTGTCAAACCTGAGTCATGTGAACTTATAATTGCTAAGAATCAGACATCACAGACAATAAGTAACACTGTATGGTCTGCTTTCACTAGTAGATGTGTATATTCAGGCTATTTCTAAATCCACTCTCCTTCATAGGACAAAATAAAAATTCTCTTTTACACACCCATGTATAAACAAAACAAAAAAAAAGAGATATGAAAAATGGATCAATTTAATTCATTTTTCATTTAGGAAGCAATTTTTTTTTTAGAAAAAAGATATTAACTTGCAGTGTTTTAAAGGTTTGTGTTCCTAAACTAATAAAGACAATTTTATTTTTTTCAGCCTTTCATCTGATCTTTTTTTTATGCAAATTTGCTTTTTTGCCTTTTCTTTATTTCATGATTACGAAAATATTTATCCTTCAGTTACTTGATATATACCTTCCAATTCATTACACATTCAACATAAATATTGATCCAGAACTTGGAATTATTTATTAAAGAGGTATTTGTTTAGCTTCTATGATAGAATCCATGCATATCTGGAAAACATCTTAGCAGAGAAATTTTTTGAAAACTGCCAAATTTTCAGAATTTCTATTCTATTTGCAAATGCACTTCATCTTTATCCTTGTCAAAATTAATAAAATTTATCAAAAAATGAATAGTTAATCTAATTTTTTTCCAGCATATGTTTCCAATGTGAATTAATTGCCTCCCTTTGATGATGAACAGGTGGCTTGATTAGATTAAGTGTGGTAGCTCAAGGGGGCATCTGGGATGTGTATTCCAGTAACCATCTTATAATGTTTGAAAACATGGTCTCCGACTGCTTATATAATCACGACCAATGATGCTATCCAGATACGTGAATCTCATGGCGATGCCGAAAAATGGCTATAGTAAATATTATTAATATTTATAAATATAAATCTTAAATCTCTTTGTATAGCCATAAATCATTTAACAAAAAACAGAAAGCCCTGCCACAAGCTACTTTATTTGATTACGACTCCTCTGTATTGTGATTTCTGGGTCAATAAGGTCACAGAGAAGACATTACATTACATGACAATTGAATCCAATAAAAACTATCAACTTAGATAGGGAAGGAGGAAAGAGTCTTTAATATTGGAATATTTGTAGTTGTGATCTTTCAATGATAATCAAGTACTGTAAATTCAGAAATTACCGTATTTGGATTGATGAACAATAGACAAATAAATGGGGAATGTGTCCATGGGACAAAGATGATGCCAATGCTTGCATATAACGTTATAAAGGGATATAACTCAAGAACTGTATAAGTGAAGCTACCCAAATTTGTACTTGATCTAAGTTTTGTGGTAATAAGCATTGTGCATAAGTTTCATAACATTTGGTTGAAGCAAACTAAAGTTAGAGAACAGAAACAAATATTTCAGGAATTTTTCGATTTGTAAAGGGCACAACTCTAGAACGGTAAAAGTGATGCCAACAAAATTCAAACTTCATCTGTGTTTTGTGGTTATAAGCATTGTGTATAAGTTTCATAACATTTGGTAGAGGCAAACTAAAGTTAGAGAACGGAAACGAAAAATTCAGCAATTTTTCCATTTGTAAAGGGGCATAACTCTAGAATGGTAAAAGTGACGCCACCAAAATTCAAACTTGATCTGTGTTTTGTGGTAATTAGCATTGCGTATTAGTTTCATAACATTTGGTTGAGGCAAACTTAAGTTAGAGAATGGAAACCAATTTTACGTACAGACGGACAAGGTTAAAACTTAATGCCCCCTTCGCTACGGCGAGGGCATAAAAGTATTACATTCGAAAATGCTATAAACAAAGTAATACTATCAAAATTAAAATGCAATTTCATCTTATTTTTGAGAAACCTATTCTGCCATAATTTTCACAATACTAAAAACATCACAAGAATTTCTCAATTTACAGTACATGCATTTGAATGCAAAAGGCTACAACCCTTTAAAACAGATATTAAATAAACAATTTCTAAGTTTGTGTCAAAAACATTCAAGCAATTTCAAATCTTCACAAGTTCTTTTTGTCATTAAAATTAGTCAGAAAACTTAACTTTTAAACTATTAAAAATTTGTAAGGGTTCTGCGGAACCCAGTGTCTCGCACTTTTGCTGTTAGTCGCAGGCTCAACAAAAATGGGGAAAAAATTATTAAAAATTTTCCTCTAGATACTATCTTTTGATTGTAAGTAGTTCTGTTCAAGTTTGGTAAAAATCCAAGAAGGTTTATGAATCTAATAAATGTTTTAAAAACTTTAACTGCAGACTGTACGTAATGTTAACTGGAATAAAACTAATTAGATATAGGAAGATGTGGTATGAGTGCCAATGAGACAACTCTCCATCCAAGAAACAATTTATAAAAGTAAACCATTATAGGTCAAGGTACGGCCTTCAATACGGAGCATTGGCTCACACTGAACAGCAAGCTATAAAGGGCCCCAAAAAATTACTAGTGTAAAACCATTCAAATGGGAAAACCAACGGTCTAATCTATATAAAAACGAGAAACGAGAAACCAAATGAACTACATAAACAGACGACAACTACTGTACATCAGATTCCTGACTTAGGACAGGTGCAAACATTTGCAGCGGGATTAAACTTTTAATGGTACCAAACTTTCTCCCTTTTCTGAAACAATAGTATAACATCACAACATAGAAAGACACACTATAAAATATCAATTGGAAGGCTTAACTCAATCAAAAAACGTAAATTAACACACAATGAATGAATAAATTTGATCTGTGACACCTGAATGCAAATACATATTTTCAATTATTAGTTAATAAAACTCATAAGGGATAAATAATTAAGGTCAAAAGTAAATAAACAGGTTTAAACAAAGTTAAAGTATGATACCACTGTGAAATGTTAAACAATATTTAGAAAATCACCACTTTTGATAAGTCCATTTATAAGTAATATACGGAAAAACAGGAAATAAATTTTTACAAAATTTCCTTCTAGATACAAGCCTTTGATCATAAACAAGCTTCTGTCCAAGTTTGGTACAAATCCAGGATAGTTTAAGAAAGTTATTAAAATTTTGAAAGCTTTAACCACAGAGTGAATATAATGTTAACTGGCAGAAAAACTAAGTCCATTTATAAGTAAAATGCGGATAAACAGGGTTTTTTTTTAACAAAATTTACTTTTGAATACTATCTTATGATCACAAACAAGCTTATGTCCAAGTGTGGTTACTAATCCAGGATAGTTTAAGAAAGTTATTAAAATTTGAAAAACTTTAACCACAGAGTGAATGTAATGTTAACTGGCAGAAAAACTAAGTCCATATATGAGTAAAATACGGATAAACCAGATTTTTTTTTTACAAAATTTACTTCTGGATACTATCTTATGATCATAAACAAGCTTCTGTCCAAGTTTGGTTGAAATGCAGGATAGTTTAAGAAAGTTATTAAAATTTGAGAACTTTAACCACAGAGTGAATATTTGTGGACGTCGCCACCGCCGACGACGATGATGCCGACGGAATGTAGGATTGCTATGTCTCACTTTTGCGACAAAAGTCGCAGGCTCAACAAAAATGCAAAGACTCTATGACTGAAGGTTTGAAAGAGATGCAGTGTTGTTTATGAAACTACAAATACAATTGGCTTATCATTACATAAGTAGTTCTTGTTAAACAGATCAAATGAGTAGACACACACGTTAGCATGATAAGATTTTTTTTTAAATCAAGGGGCCATGACTTAGTACCAAGTTAAAACAAAATTTCATTGAAATGAAAGGTACTTGTAGTAATTAATCTGCATAAAAATCATTGAATTTAAATAAATGGTTCTGCAACCTTTGAACTAACTGTGATGCTGATGCTGTCAATGTTTGAAAGACAAAATCTTTGACAAGAAACTTCAGCAACTGACAGCCATTATCTGTATCAGAAAATACAGAAAAATAAAACTTTTGCATCAATCAACAGTTAGTTATGCTAACTTTTCATAAAATAGCAAACAAGAGTGCATGAGTTAGAATGTCTCACTTAAGATAGTAGGGGGTATAAAGAAACAAGAGTGCATGTGCTAGATAGTATCACTAAAGATAGTAGAGGGGTATAAAAAAAACATGAGTGCATGTGCTCGAATGTCTCACTTAAGGTAAAAGGGGGTATAAAGAAACAAGAGGGCATTTACTAGAATGTCTCACTAAAGATAAAAGGGGGTATAAAGAAATAGGAGTGCATGTGCTAGAATGTCTCACTTAAAATAGAAGAGGGCATAAAGAAAATATGACAGCAATTTTCATACCTTGCCAATATGTAGTTTATGTGGTGCTAATGCCAAAAATATAATAAGAAATATAGGTGAACACACTTGCTCTGAAGCTACAGGTTGTGAAATATTGACAATTTTTGTTAGGATCATACAGGGGAAAAGCAACAACAAAATTTTGAAATAAAGTATGAAAAGATAGCTAAAAGTGACATTTAACACCCACAATCAATCAATCAATCATATGATTTGAAGATGATTAATTTATTTGAAATTATTCTCATCTATAAATATTATTTATTTACCGCTGAAATCTTTCTTTCGTGCATCATTTAACTTTAACAATCATTAAAATTATAAGCTAAATTACAGAACTGTAAATACATATGTCTTTTCAATCAAAGGGAGGTAACTTAAATTGTTTTTCATTTTAGAAAATAGTCTATTGGAAAGACCCCAAATTAGTAGACTTATAATTTGTTTCTCCGTCTACAAACACTCTTTAATCAAACTGTAATATATATGTGCAGTAGTAAATGCCTTTACATGGATAGCACTGACTTGAAGAGAGTATTCCTCTAGCTGCAGGATTCAGTATATATGGTATTCCAAATCACTTTTATAGCATTAAATGTGTTAAAGGAATTAAACAAGAGGCTCCTAAGAGCCTGAATCACACACTGAAATATGTCATCTTGATATTAATTTTTACCTTTATTGTAATAAATAACTTAAGTGTATTGCAAATATTTTTAAGTGGCATTTGAACCTTGTAATTATGTTAGTTTTTATTGTTTACAGTTTCTACCTATTTTTTTTAAAGTTTTCCAGATAGTTGGTAAAATGATAAAACTTAGTTTTAATCAACATTTTAAAAATAGCAAAAAGTCCTATAAGGAGTCTGACAATTTTGGTCATTTTGACTGACTTAGAGATCTTATTTTGCATTTTTCTCTCTACTTTCTATAGAATTTATCCAAAATGAAACAAGACAAATATTAAGATTCATGTGGAATAACTCCTTATAGGAGTTGATAAACAATTTCTGTCATGTTAACTTATTTGTAGATCTTATTGTGTTACAGTTTCCTCTTATCTTTTATAGTTTCTGCAAAAAACATAAAAATCAGTAAAATTCTTGATGTTTTAAAGGCATGGATAAGTCCTTTGATTGATTGGTGTTTTAACAACACTTTCAGCACTATTGGCTATTTCGGGACAGCCATTTTTTTTCTAGCGGAGAAAGCTGGAGTGCAGGAGAGCACCATCGACCTTTGGTAGGAAAACTGACAATCCTAGTTAAGATTGCAATCAGCACACCTGCCACATGCGAGATTCGAACTCACAGCCTCAGTGTTGACAGGTTAGTAGTGATACAGTAGTTGAACTACTTAGACCAAGTCATTTGAAAGGCAAAATGAACTGTCCTGTAAAGGTCACATCATTATACTGACTAAATTAGAAAAAAGAGGCTCAGATAACAATAAGGAGCCAGTGCTTCAGGAATATCAACTAGAACATGCTTCCTACATCACATTTCAGTTGCTAAAAACCTTAGAAAAAACAGAGACATTCCATCTGCCTGCCAAAATGTTTGATATGTACACAAATAAAAAGTCACTTTAGGCTTTAAAGTATACTCAGTTCATGCAGCAACAAATGATTGGCTTTTAATTCTAAACTAATACCAATTAAGATTACATTCACACATAATCCACTTTAAATCCACATCAAGTTTGTTTTTGCATTCAACCCTCTTTCTGGAGGTGGTCTAGCATCAGATTTCTACTTTAAATCAGATGTTAGAAAAAAGAACTTGGATTTCAATTCATATTATCAAATACTTTTAATGCTATGTAAAGAATATTTACATACATCAGATTATAATATCCAATCTATATCTAAACACCTGCATTAAATATCTCTTAAAAGGATCTAACAAACATTAAGGGAAATTGGAAATTGGTAATTCTTACATATCAGTTAAATGTGTGAGACTAAACAACTTCAAACCATGTGCTTCCATATCAAGATCTAAAGGTATCTGGGTGTTAAAATCATCAATTCTATCAAGATGAATAAAAAATACTATCTGGTAGATTCTATTCAAATAATAAATGAAAATCCACTGTGGTTCCTTTAAAGTTTTAATTTGCCATTTAATAATTTTTTTTAATTAAAATATTAAGATACATGGACTTCTACAATTTTTACTATAAGTTAACACAAGTATTTAATTGACAATCTTACTGCAAACAAATAAATAATATTAATCAAATGCAAGCATTGTAATACTTATGCATGTAGTAAAATGAAATTTAATATTAAAAGCATTTTTATCAAGTTTGCAAACACTAAATAAGCAACACAACTTACCTGACTCAAAAACTTAATACATGTATATGAAACGAATTCAAAATTGTCTTCCTTGTAAAGTATATAAACAACTGAACAATACCAGATCCTAATTAGATAATCATAATCTATTCATGTGTTTTCCCTTACCTGGTGAAATATTCCTTGATCTTTGCTCCAGGGGGACAGGATTACTGATATACCTCTCCTAATTTAAAATTAAACATACAATGATTAATGAGATTTAATTATCATCAGAAAAGCTGAACAAATCTTTAATTTATTTTGTTAGAAGCCTATTGTGTGGAAACTCACTACCAATTATAGTTTATCAAATAAAACGAGTATTTAAGATTTGGCTGTGTAAACATTTTGTTTTATTGTTGTACAAGTTTTAACAACCATTTCAATGCTGGATTAGGGACAATTGAAGACATTGAATCATTCACCCATATTGACACAAGTTTGAAACATCTCACTTTTGATATAAAGATGTGCACAGAGTATATATATTAAGTGCCTCTAACATGTCAAACAATATAAAATGTGCCATCCTGCAGTTTTGTTCCAAAAAAAATTGTAAAGACTTTAAAGTGTCCATTTAAAAGATATTTAAAAAATTTCTAATTAGTGAAAGAGAAAGTTACAAAATGCACCTATCTACCCAATTTCAAGCTCTGAACTGATCAGTTAAAAAAATAGATTTACATGCATATTTTGTAAAAAAATTTTGAATTGTTGGAATTATTTTTTTGGTATGAAAAATTATTCTTTATCTTATATACTTTGGAGAATGGCATTTACAGGAAATGACTCACATGGTATGGTAGAAACTTAGTACTCTACACTCTCCCTAATGTCTTATTCAGAGTATTAACAGAACGTAAAAATAACTTGAATTAGGTGATCAAATATCTAACAAATTCCAGGTTAACTAATGCATCCAATCCCCACCTTGCAGCATAACTCTTGTAACAGCAAATTTCTACTGTCAAGATCAAACTTGACCTGAACATTTTGGTCCATTTTGTTTAAATTTTCAAAACAACTGTCAAGAAAAACAGCTACCATCATCCAGAAATACCCAACACACCGTCATCCAGAAATACCCAACACACCGTCATCCAGAAATACCCAACACAACCGTCATCCAGAAACACCCAACACAACCGTCATCCAGAAACACCCAACACAACCGTCATCCAGAAATACCCAACACACCGTCATCCAGAAATACCCAACACACCGTCATCCAGAAATACCCAACACCCAGCTACCGTCATCCAGAAATACCCAACACACCTTATTTGTATGAAAACTAAGGATATAACCCCTATTTTATTAATAAGTATAGGTATTCCAGTGAATTAAGCAGAGACATTTTGTTTTGTAGTGCTATATTATCACCTGCTGTCTAGAAAATACCTAAAAAGTACATCCTGAATTTTTACCTTGCAACAACGTTCTGTGGATGGTTGTCAGGATGTGCCTTGGGAGTCCACAAAATAACGGTGTATTGACATCATTTTGCACTTTTGCCACAACGATAAACTATCGAGGAATGATCTACTGGGTAACTCTTGATCAATAAATGTCAAATCTTCAAAATCACATTCCACTTGTAGTTTATGGTCTACAACCTAAGTCTAATTTGAAAAAGATTCTGTCATGTGGTACTTTAGCTGTCATTTGGTCCTTTAGCTGTCATGTGGTACATTAGCTGTCATCTGGACCCTTTCCTCTGTAAAAAAAAACCAAATTATTCTTATAATAATTAAATGGCATAACTCTTGAAAGGATTATGCCAAATACACCAGCTAAACAAATAGTCACATGAGAAGCTGCTTCAGACAATGAACATGATTTAAATGACTAACGAAGTCAAGCTCAAGCAAATAATTGTCAGTAAAGACAGACTAGAGCTGAAAGTATAGACTAAATATGTATTACAGTAATATCAAAAGTTATTGAAACCCTTATAATCATTTCAATCATTTATAATTAGTAATTTATAGAATTGTTAATGTTAATTTATATATTTAAAATTTCCATTTAAAGTTAAGTTATAAATCAATTTTTTTATACATGTATGTTGATATTTTTAGATTGCCACAAGTCAAAAACATGTTGATAAATATTCCACAGTATCTGTTTTAAAACAGAATTCAGTATACCAGAAGTTATTTAAGGAAAGTAAATTTGTTGGTCACTGTTACGTTTGTATTCCATTTGTTTACTGTTGAAGATCTAATTTGTACGCACACACGATAATTTTGTTTTCTTAAGTTTCATATATAAGTAGTCTTTTGATACCACTACACTTTATTTTTATACACAATAAACAACATTGAGGATGGGGGTTACATCAAATTTGTATATAGAGGTGTTTCTATCCATCCAGAACTGAGAAAAGGGGATATAACTATAACATATTAAATATTGACCATGTTTACGGTACATGTACCTTGAAATTTATGGTATTAAGCACCGTACTGCACTACACAGCTATCTGTAAACTTTTAATTTTAAAGATTTTTTTTCTTTTCTGGACTTACATGACTTAACAGATATAAAAGTTCTCATTTCTAAAGGTAAGTAATCACAGATAAAAACTGAACTAGATGGAGATAATTTTGAGGCCTTATTTTGTCAAATATTGTCTGATCTTTGAGATCTTTTTAACGTCAGACTTCATTTATGAAGCCAAAAACAGACAACAAATGGTTTAAGATGACCAACAACTACATGTAACCACAGTAATTTCTTTACATAGGCAGTCATGTGATAAAATTTGCTTCAATTACTGAACAAGTGAAGGCAGCATTTTAGATACCCCACAAGTGTGTTATCACCTACTAGACAAACTGAGTTGGTATCTTTACTTCCTTTAAAAATTTGTGGGGATATGAATGTACTTCTTTTTCATTGTCGTTCCTGTAAATATATAGTACTTCCATGGTTTAATGAAATTCCTTGTTTAAATGACATCTTTTTTCCTTCACATCAACATACATGTAATTCCAAAATGTTAATCAGGAGAGGAACAAACATACATGTTACATACAAAGAACATAAAATCAGCCAATCCACTTTGCAGGTGATCATTACAACAGGATAGCATTATAATAAATAAAAGGTACAATATGTTAGTGTATGAAACTACTGCTGATATAATAAATAAAATGCTTCGCTGGGCGCAGCTTGATACGACCGCAGAGGTCGAACCCGGAACAGTTGGGGCAAGTATGGACACAACATTCAAGCTTGATACAGCTCTGAATTTGGATTGTGATTAAATATTTGACACAGCATAGGTTTCTGACACAGAAAGAATGTGGTCTAAGAACTTGATTTTTTTTAATTTACCTATTATGGTCCAATGTCCAAAATCAAAATACATGGTTAGATTCAGCATATCAAAGAACCCCATATATTCAATTTTTGTTGAAATCAAACAAAGTTTAATTTTGGACCCCAACTTGGACAAACTTGAAAACTGGGCCCATAATCAAAAATCTAAACACATGTTTAGATTCAGCATATCAAAGAACCCCAAGAATTCAATTTTTGTTAAAATCAAACTAAGTTTAATTTTGGACCCTTTGGACCTTAATGTAGACCAATTTAAATAAAATGCTTCGCAGGGCGCAGCTTGATACGACCGCAGAGGTCGAACCCTGAACAGTTGGGGCAAGTATGGACACAACATTCAAGCTTGATACAGCTTTGAATTTGGATTGTGATTAAATATTTGACACAGCATAGGTTTCTGACACAGAATGAATGTGGTCTAAGAACTTAAAAATTTTAAATTGGACATTCACCTATTATGGTCCAATATCCAAAATCTAAATACATGGTTAGATTCAGCATATCAAAGAACCCCAAGAATTCAATTTTTGATGAAATCAAACAAAGTTTAATTTTGGACCCTTTTCACCTCAATGTGGACAAAGTTGATAACGGGGCCCAAAAATCAAAAATCTAAATACATGGTTAGATTCAGCATATCAAAGAACCCCATATATTCAATTTTTGTTGAAATCAAACAAAGTTTAATTTTGGACCCCAATTTGGACCAACTTGAAAACTGGGCCAAAAATCTAAAATCTAAATACATGTTTAGATTCAGCATATCAAAGAACCCCAAGAATTCAATTTTTGTTAAAATCAAACTAAGTTTAATTTTGGACCCTTTGGACCTTAATGTAGACCCATTTGAAAACTGGACCCAAAATTAAAAATCTAAATACACGGTTAGATTCGGCATAACAAATAAATAAATGCTGTCAAAGATTTTACAAATCTAATGCGCCATACTGTGCAATTAAAGATTACTTCTTGAAATTTTTCAATATTTGAAATTTGAAAAAAAAATAATATTTGAGGAATAATTCTTTTTAATTTCTGAAATCTGAAATGAGAAAAAATTGACCCCCCCCACAATTTCTTTTTACCCCCCCCCCCCCCCCCCCCCATTTTTCCCCAAAAAAATTCTTTCCCTCAAGATATGGTCATAATCTCAATTCAAATTTCCAATGGAGTTTGCAACCATAATTACCAATTTAAATTTACCATAGTGCTACACAACAGCCCGTGTGGATTTTGCTTTTTCCACCGGCCCACCGTGGGCAGTCCACCCGTGCCCACTCTAGCTATAATCTCTTTTTTGTAAAAATATTGATTACAAATGCTTATCTGCTTTTGTAACTTAATCTATTTTATAATAGAATTTAAAATATAGTGTCAAATCTTTCATATGGATTTTTTTGTAAAAAAAAAAGATGCAACATTTGCAGATATTTTTACTGGTCTTCCTTTATAAATATGCATTTCTTTAAACATAATTTAAAAGCAGTGTAAGGGAAGTAACCAAAACGTTGTATTTGGATTACCTCCCTTACACTGTTTTAAATTATCTTAATTGTTCATTAACCATTACTTTATATATAATTTAAAAGCAGTGTAAGGGAGATAATTTCAATGATGTATTTGATTTATCTCCCTTACACTGCTTTAAATTATGTTTTGTACTAAAGTATTTGTCCATTAACCAGGACAACCTTGTTTTTCCCCCTTTTTTGCCCCTAATTCCTAAATGGTTTGAGCCATAACCCCCCAAAGCAAATCCTAACCATCCCTTTGTGGTATGGAAACTTGTAGTATAATTTCAGAGAGATCCATACACCGTTCCATAGTTATTGTCTGGAAACTAGAAAATGCTTATTTTTGGCCCCTTTTTGGCCCCTAATTCCTTAACTGTTGGTACCATAACCCACAAAATCAATCCCCACCTTCCTTGTGTGGTATTGAACCTTATGGTAAAATTTCAAAGAGATTCATTCACTTAAACTTAAGTTAGAGTGCGAAAACCAATGTGTCTTCGGACGACGACGACGACGCCAACGTCATACCAATATACGACCGCAAAAATTTTTTGCGGTCGTATAAAAATACTTTTGTTTCCATTTTTACCGGTTTATTTTTTTCAATCTCATGTAAAATATAACCAGCGTTCAAAGACATTATGCATTCTGTACCATACTGTATATTTGTCAAACTTCCTTTATAGGGGATATAGTAACCAATAATGCAAGTATATAATCTGCATAAATAATGGTAGAAAATGAAAAGAGATGTAACTAGATATCATTGAGATGGGAGCCATCTCTGTGGGCCCCGCTGTGAATAATGTGTGGTAACAAATTTGTATCTTTATCATTGGACATGGGGTTGTCAAATGAAACTTTGAAATCATAACGGTTCTCAAGATATAGAGGGGTCACGATCTTTATCATAGGACATGGGGTTGTCAACTAAAACCAAAGTTTTTGACCTTGACCTTTGACCTAGGAAGTTGAACATACATTATGACACACCCTCTGGTGTTGGTTAATATACATATCAAGTATAAATTTTGAAATCATAACGGTTCTCAAGATATAGAGCGGACACGATCTTTATCATAGGACATGGGGTTGTCAACTAAAACCAAAGTTTTTTACTTTGACCTTTGACCTAGGAAGTTGAACATACATTATGACACACCCTCTGGTGTTGGTTAATATACATGTCAAGTATAAACTTTGAAATCATAACAGTTCTCTAGATATAGAGCGGACACGACTTGTTACGAACGGATGGACGGACGGACAGACAGACAGACTGATCACTATAGGGCGGCCGCCATTCGGCGGGGCCCTAATAATATGCTAGAAAAATTTATGATTCATATTGTGATATTTCAGGAAAGTTTCAATACAGGCACCACATTATATGGAGACATATTTTCTAAAAGCTTGCCAATTTGCTCTTTAAATCTTTAGTACTGCTAGTCTCCTTCTTTGTTTGGAATTATGTGACCTTTGAAGAACAAGAGTGCACACGCTGAAATGTCTCACCTGTTTTACTTATTATTGAATTCATGTTGAAAGTCTGAAATTTGAAGGTTTTACTACAAGTATCATATAAACTAAACATTATCAATGTTCTATGAAAATGAGGTCAAGATCAGATCAACCATTCCAGACAGACATGTACACCTTACAATAATTCTATACACCAAATACAGTGGTCTTATCCCTAAAAGTACATGTACCTGAGAAACAGATCAACCACAAACTCTTAACATTGACTAATGAAGCATGAAAATGAGGCAAAGGTCATATGAACCCTGCCAGACAGACATGTTCACCTTACAATCATTCCGTACACCAAAAACATTTAATATAACTTTTTCAAGTTATTGCTTATAATATCTAAGAAATAGACCAAACCACAAAAAATAAACATTATTCAATGAACAATGAAATTGAGGTCAAGGTCATATGAACCCTGCCAGACATATATGTACACCTTACAATCGTTCCAAACACCAAATATAATTGACTTTTTCAAGTTATTGCTTATAATATCTAAGAAATAGACAAAACCACAAACACTTAACATTGTCCAATGAACCATGAAAATGAGGTCAAGGTCATTTGAAACCTGCAAGACAGACATGGACACCTTAAGTTTACAATCATTCCATACACCAAATATAGCAGCCCTCTGGCTTTTAGTATCTAAGAACTAGACCAAAACCACATAAACTAAACATTGTCCAATGAACCAAGAAATTGGGGTCAAGGTCAGATGAAACCTGCCAGTCCGAAATGTACACCTTAAAATCATTCCATACAAACAAATATAGTTGACCTAATGCTTCTAGTATCTGAGATACAGACTTGATCAACTAACTTTAACCTTGATCACTGATCCATGAAATAAGGTTGAGGTCTGATACAGTCCTTGGATCGATGGTGTAAACTTCCCACTAACACCATACACCATTACACCATTACACCATACACCCTGTGCCATTACACCATACACGTTACACCTTTGCACCATACATGTACACCTTACGCATTACACCATAATGCAATTTAATTTCCAAGAAAGCGTGCAACTACAAAATTATTTATTTATTTTAAAAAACGAATTTTGATCACAATATTGTAAATTAATGTATAAAATTAAAAATAAGTTCTTATCAATATTTTGCATAGTTTTAAATGTCATACACCATTCATTCACACCATTCCCGATCGCACGTTACACCATTACACTATTCCCCTTACACCATAGCACTATACACCTTCTACCATTGCACCACATGCCATACACCATTACACCATACACATTTTTTTGGAAAGTTTACACCATCCAAGGGCTGTAAACCCTACCTGACGGACATGTAGACGTTACAAGGAACCAATGTACCAAATATAGTTATCCTTTTATTCAGAAGTGAGTATTTCACTGAGAAAAACTTTATTTATTTTAAGCAGTCACTAAACCATGAAAATGAGGTCAAGGACAGTGGACATATGACACAGAAACTTCATAACATAAGGTATCTGTATACAAGGTATGAAGCATCTACATGAT